GCGGTCACACCTGATGTACCTGCAGCTAATCCTATCCCACAACCGATGTCTCTGTAACCAATCCTGTCACAGAATTCAGGGTAGCCTTAGCTCCATCCTGACATCTCAGTTACACCTCTATATCATCTCCTCCCTCTCCTATCTGCTCTTTTCCCGTCCTTGCTTGACTTTATAAATGCATTCCTTCTTTTTACTCTTTGCTTTTCTTTTTGGCAGTCTGACAGACCCCCTGCCCTGCTTTTGTCTAATTATAGCCACAGACTTGTTTTACAATCCTCCCCCCTCTCCCTCACCCTTGTCTCTTCAACTGTTCTGCATCTTATCTTACATTTCTACTGTGATACCAACAGACCTCCCATCCCCACAGCTTTGATTTGCCTGACATTTCCTCCTTCTTTCTTCTATCTCTTTGTCACCTGCCTTACCCACCCACGCACCACTATCTTTTCCTGCCCTGCTGCCACCAGAAATAAACCCAGCTACAGGTTGTGTGTCACAAAACAGAAATTGCATTGTGTAACTGTCAACAGCGCTCACATTGTCCTGTACCCAAAGAATGACTGTCTTCTCTTTCTCTTTCCATTCTTCCCTGTTCTGTACTAATTCTTTACAGAGAGCAAGCTGCGAGTGCAAAAGACCAACCAGTCTCAGGTGTACCTGGAGGACAGTCGTGTCAGGATCAACTGCTCCATCGCGTCCCAGACCAGCCAGGACTCCCAGCACGCCGTGCTGTGGTACGTGAGGCGCGCAACCGGGTCAGAGGCAGATGAGCTCCTGCTGAGAATTGAACGCTCGGGGGCCTTTGAGTATGGCGCCTACGCAGACGAGGAGAGACTGCGCCGCCGAGTGCAGGCCGAGAGGCTGTCACCCCGTCTATATGTGCTGACGCTGAACAGGGCAGAGAACAGTGATTCTGGAACATACTACTGCTTGGTGGAGGAGTGGCTGAGTGACCCAGATGGAGCTTGGTATCGACTCTCCCGGGAGTCCTCAGGGTTCACGCAGGTTCTTGTCAGACAGCCAGGTGAGCAAGCGGTCAAAAGTGCTGTTGTCTTCAACATAATGCTTATTTATTCCCACTGCAGAGAAGCAGCAGCTGCTACCTTAGCCCCACATGCTGTCCTGCTTTAGACCAGTTGAACATTATTGTCCCGATCCCTTTTCCAAATCCCTTACACCTTGCCTCCCACTTTCACATGCTCCGCTCAAGACCTCCAGGCCATTTCGCTCTCATGACCTTGCACCTGCCCCTGGCAGAGCTCAGGTGGCAAAACATGTGATAAAGTCGTGCCAGCCCTCCTATGCCATGCCAGAGGGCCTGGCATATGAGCCTGAGTGAGAACCTAATTTTCTTGTCTAGTAAACTACTAAAATGTCTCTCAGAGCCACAACGTACCTACTACCACCCAAACACTGACATCCTACCTTATGAAAGTTATCTTAAGTACCTCCATCTCATATCTCTTTCTGTACTTGATTCAATTTACCCACATCCCATATTCTCTTATCCCAAATGTCCTCTCCTATTCAATCAAACTCCATGCCCCAAAATGCAAATACACAACAACTCATCCATCTTCGACATACCCTTTTTTTGTATGAATCTATTCCACACACCAGCTGAAGGTGACTTCTCTGAGAGCAGTGTTCTTCTGCCAGGTGTCCTGTTTATAATGCAGAGTGAAATCCCCAATATGGCATCTGTCCAACTAGGACGTGAGGATCAAAACGTCTGGTCATAAGCCAATAGGGCAAGGAAAACGCCTGTATTTTATGTAGACAGTGAAGCTGACACTGCTCAAACAATTAATTAAGCTACAGTGCACATACAAATATATGACATGATATCATATCATATCATATATCATAATCTGGAAGGTAGTTGATAACCATATAGGTTTTTACTTTTAATGATACATAAATATCTACAGAAAATGAATAGAATATGCTATATAAACATCATGGATATTCATTAAGGTGCTAAAAAATGCGTTCACCTAGGAAGTCATCCAGAAATCTGCTTGTCTGGAGGAAAGATGAGGGGAGATGTGTGCCAGCAATGTTTTTTTTTTCCTGCTCTCCCGCTGTCCTTTCTGCTTCTCGTTTTGCTTTAACAAGAAGACCATTCCAAACTGTTTGTGAGAGGAGCCCAAGCAAGCCAGGTCTTTACTGCCATTTTCTTTTTTAACTGCAGTGAAACTGGGTCATTGTACCATCCCTGAAGGGTTGTAGCATACCCATACAGACAGACACGCTATCCTTGGGGTAGGATCTAACCTTGCTGCAAAGTGGAAAGACTGGTGATAGCTGTGGGCAGCACTGTGGGATTTTTTGTCTTTTGTTTACATTTTGAAAGTTTGGTGTCCCTTTTAGCAGAATCATTTGTTGGCTTGCGGTGTTAATTTGAAGTTCAAATTAAGGCTGCAACCAGTGAATATTTGGATTATATAATATTTGGAATATTTTCTCCATCGTTGTGTGCCTAAAATGTCTGAATGTGTCAAAACAGTGAGAAATGCCTGCCACAGTTTCAATCTATCTATCTTTAAATAGCTTGTTTCATCTGATCAACAGTCTAAAGCACAGAGATATTTAGATCTACTATCAAACAAGAAAAAAAATTGTAATTGAAATAGATTCTCGAAAAGTAGCAGTCAATGTAAGTTTGAGTGAACATTGAGACTGGATTGCTATACCCCAAGAAATTCTGTACATTTCAATACATAACCACTTTTTTCTGACCCCATCTGTTTCTCTTTCTTATCTTCTTGGACCTCTGCAGAGGTTCGACTGCAGGTGGAGGAAATGGACTCAAACGTGACAGTGGAAGAGTCTGGCTCCATCCGATTGGGCTGTAGCATTCCCTCCCAGTCGTCCCGAGACTCCCGCTTTTCCGTGTCCTGGTATGTGGAGCGCTCTGAAGATGAGGAAGATGAGGACCAGCCAGGTGAGGAAGAGAGAGAGCGGGAGTGTGTGTTCTCCATCGGCCATGATGCCGTTTTCGGAAATGGAAATTGCAGTCCCAGAGAGGAGGCGGGGCCAAATTCCCGCCTGCAGTTTGAGAGGATGACCTCTGACCAGTACAGCCTGACCATTCAAGGAGCACGGCCAACAGACGCAGGCCGATATTATTGCCATGTGGAGGAGTGGCTACTCAACCCTCGCAATGCGTGGTACCGACTGACCACCAACAACTCTGGGTTCACTATCGTCAATGTGCTGCAACAAGGTAAGTCCGTAATTAAATAAATCCTTTGAGCTTCTCTGAATGTAGGTGAAAACGAACACAGAAACATGAACACTATACTTGTATCCATGTCTTCTGTTATTATACTGGCAACTGAAGACCGGAGATGTTCTTCAGAGATAGCACAAGGTGTAATTAACTCCTGCTTCTTTGGATGTTTCATTTCACAGTATATATAATATTGTCATATTGCCCAATCCTAATATGTCCTCTGTGTTACAGTGTATGTAACTAGAGAAAATTATAGGCCATAAAAGGAGCTCTCAGATAGATATTATGTCATCACTACCCTACGTTGGATGATTAGGCTTCCCCAGTTAAAAGCAGGGCAAGAGATGGTTACCCACTGTTTAGCAATAAAGTTGAGCAATTAATGGTGTCAAAAGCGGTGCTTGAATTTAAAGATGTTAAATAAATTCATTCACCAGTGTCAACAGCTAGATGAATTTAATTTATTCTACATGCTAAGAGTCATGAAAAAAAGAATACAGTTTCTAAAAAAGGTCCCTTTCAAGGAAGGGTTTTTGCATCTGTGAAAAAACAGATTTTTCTATTCTCTGTCAACAGTGTCCTCCCTCCAGTCAGTGGTGTGCTCCAACGACTCCCTCTTCTACTTCGTCTTCTTTTACCCCTTCCCCATCTTCGGCATCCTCCTCATCGCTGTGCTGCTGGTGCGCTACAAGAGCCGCAACAACAGCAAGAGCCAAGAAGGCAAGAACGGCGCCCCCCTCCTGTGGATTAAAGAACCTCACCTCAGTTACTCTCCCACCTGTCTGGACCCACCTGCGCTCAGCCTACACCCTGGCTCCGTCGACTAAGCGAGGGTCCCGGCCCCCCCCCCTCCCCTCCCCTGCCTCGTGCACATAGCAGATCCAGCCAACACAATGCCAGGGAGCAGATCTGGACTCCACCTTCAGAACTTACTGTCGTTCACTGCTGTGTTGAATTAGTCAATCAGTTGATCAGTTTAAAAATTCCTACCCTGGTGGCTGCCTGTTTTATGTTAACAACAGTGTTTGTTTTGCTCTGTGTGTGGGTGTGGGTGTGGGT